AAAATGTGTCTAGACAGGAGGTGATATTGCACAAGCATAAAGAAAAGAAGCAAATAAAAACCTAAGAGGTTCAAGTATGTTAAAAGTAACAAATTGACTTTTATCCATCTGTTATATACAGGAGTGTGTTTTTCTCCCAACCCGTTTTCTAAGAAGTGTAATACTTTTATGCTTCTTAGGCAAGTTCTGGTCCTCTAAGTTAACTGGTTTAGTTTTTAAGTGCTGGCTTAGCGTCGTTCGTCAGTATAACTTGCTATTGGTAGGATAGGCGATGTCAGAGGCCGTGGAATCTCTTGGTCAGCTTCTGCGAGGCAACACTCTGGTTTCTGCAACTCCAAAGGCTCTAACTGGGGAACTACTCACTCTAACTCTCAAACTGAACTGTCGAACAGCCCGAGGACATTCGTTTATATGGATACCGACCAAAAACTAGTGTGGGGTTTTTGGTAAATCCCGATTTCTGACAAGAACCTCTTTGTTGCCAGGTCAGGAAAATTGATTACTTCCCATTTTGGAAAATTAATCACTTTCCATTTTGGGGGAATCCCTTCATCCGTGAGGAGAGGTTGGAGGAGAGCTATCCTTCTCAAATTTATACCTCGTACCAAACCCTTCAGTGGGCGTTAATAACTTCCCTGTCCTTCTCATCAGATTACCTCCGCCTATCACCATTGCTACCACTCGACCAATGGCGTCCTGGCTGTGCGGGCGTGGCTAAGCTGGTCTCATTAAAATTATAACCCAGAATTTTTTGTTTACAAAATTCTTTTTCCCATCATCTAAAATATTTTTACGAATCTCACATGGCCATCTCTCAGATCTTTTGGTCTTCTTAACCAGCACTTTTTACAAACTCCAATCAATTGTCAAAGTCTGCCATCTGGTCCCTTCATGAAGTTAGCGTTTACTGGAACCCTTGGCTTCTTGAGATAATAAATTTCTTTGAAAAATTGGTAATTCTTCTGAGATATTTTTCTCATGCCAAAATTTTATAATCAACATACTTAACATGTCGGTACTGAAGACAATATCTTGGAAAAGCAAATAATATTAATTCTCTCTACCCCGTATTGGAATATTTTCTTATGCTGAAATTTTCACAATGAACATATGGCATCTCAACTTGCTGGCACTTAAAAATGATATCTTGGGAAGATAAATAATATTGATTCTCTCTACCCTGTATCGGCAAATAATTTCGGAATACCTTCTCATGCCAAAACTTTTATGATCAACATATGGCCTGCCGCCTGATATCTCAACGCTTTTTCTTAATCTCGTGTTTTCTCGGCAAGCACTTTTACAAATATCATTAATCAATTGTCAAAAGCTTACATATGGCCTTTCTGCGAGTTCACTGTCTACGCCAATTTATGGGTCTTTGAGAAAGTAACTCACTTTTATTCTTAAGTAAAAAAAAAAAAAAAAAAAATTTCAGGGTATCTTCTTTTTGGTTCTCAGTATTTTCTTGTTTTAATTTCTATGGTTAATTAGTTAACCAACTACCATAGCTAAATAGTGTCACAACACCATCAACCAATAATACTGCAGGGTTAAATTTTAATTGTTCCTTATGTTGACCTAGCCAATCCTCACCCAAGATCATATCTTCACAGAGTCCTGGGGGCCACATATAACTTGTGGACACTATTTGTCCCTTCTATCTTTACTGGGAGTCACACCATTCTTGTTATTGTCATCTTCTTCCTGTCTGCTTGGTTAATTGTAATGCCGGCCTTTTTAACCCCCCGCCACCACAGCCTCAAATTATTATACCAGTCCTCTCTGAGCAAGGATACAGATGCCCCCATGTCTATCAAGGCCCTCATCACTTTTACTACTGCTTTGTGCGTAAGCTTCTCCTGTGTCAATCTCTCATCATCTACATAGTACAGCATTCCAAACCGTCTATATTTACTTTGTGGTGCCCTGGAACAATCTTTCTGAGGTCTGTTCTCTTTGTTCAATGAGGTAATCTTTTCTCGGATGGCCTGGTTCTCTCACATGTCCAACATCGCATACTTCTCCTTTTTCTCATTACAACATGGGCCACTTTCCCTTTTATTTCTTGTGCTGGGGTGGCCCCTGGTTGTTTCCCTAGTTCAATCTTCTAGGGGTGGATTTGTTGATGGGAGGCCTTGAAGACTTCTTTCTCGGGACTCTACACCACTTGGTCTCAAGGCCAAATTGGCCAAAATTTGATCCAACAAAACTTGGAGACAACCTACATCTTGTTTTCTTGCCTTATAACCCTCATAATTGCAGGTCCAACAGACCAATCTGTATCTACCGGATGTGTGCGTGAAGAACCCGTTTCAAGGACCAATCCATTTTATTGGGATCAGCTTCTTTCTTCCAATCCTCTGGTTGCTCTTTCACCCATTCTAAGTCCTTATTCCACATAGGAGATTTCTTTTCTTGATTCTGCCTACCTTCCTCCTGACCTTGGACCCATGGTCCACTACTTCTTGTCTTTTTTCACACTTTTTCACTATCTATGGCCATTTACAATCTGATTGGGGCCTCCTTAATCACATTGTATCTGATGCGTTCTTTTTCTAGTGCATTGACAAATAAATCTGCCAACTGGGCTTGAATGTCGGCATTCTCCTTCGCTTCTTCAGGGAAAGCCAAAGCTGACAATTTTGTGGCTCTTGTTCCTAACTCTCTTGGAGTCTCAATCTTTGCCTGGGCGAGTTTCATGAGATTCCTCATGGTTTTTACAGCTGTTCACCCACATACTCTTCTATCAGCAATCTCTCCAGGTCTGCCCATGCTAAACCAGAGTCCCTCGCTAGGTGCCCCCTCTCCATAAACTCTGAGGCCAGGCCCTCAACTGCATCATACACTAATAGTACTGTCTCTACTTCAGACAGCTCATCGGTGAGCTGTTTCTTCTCTATTGCTGTTAACCAATCATTCAGTTCCCCTTATTAAAATAAATAGTATTATTAAAACCATTAATACAGGAATTGAAAAATGCCTATATGAAGATGATCTCTGAATATCCTACTTATCACCAAACATGCCTTCCCTTGAAAGATATATACAATTATGTTTTAGCAAGATAGAAAAATGGACAAATGAAAATGGATTCTGTTTCTTCAAAATAACTGTTGTGTATGCATTTCTGCAAAAACTGAGCCTACCACATTAATCCAGAATTAAAATTAAATGGACACATAATTCCCATAGTCCAACAAATAAAATATCTAGGAATCATACTAGATAGCAAACTTAACTTCAAAGCACACATGGATTACCTTAAAGAAAAATGTCAAAAGGCTTTGAAGTAATATTAAAAGTAATATCAAAAGTGAACTGGAGGGCCAACCAAAAAGTAATGCTCAGAATATATAGATCACACATCAGATCAAAACTAGATTATGGATGCATTATTTACAGTGGCACACATAAATCCTATCTTAAAACACTACAAACCATACAAAATCAAGGCCTGAGATTAAGTCTTGTAGCCTTCCAGACCTTGTCCATCCAAAGTCTCTATATAAAAGACAGTGAACCACCTATATCTCCAAGATGGGAAAAATTATCCTGCTGATATACACAAATTTCAATCCAACCTAAATAACCCCGCATACCCAAAATAAATATGAACCACATTTTTCAAGTTCTGTAGAAATAAACCAACAGTCGTTCCTTCATTTGGACTTTGAATCAAAGAAGCACTAGAATAAAGATCTTGATAACATAACACCAGTTACAATCTCCAAACTTCACATTTACCTAACATTGAAACATTGATAAAAAAAGATACAATCAACAAAAGCATATATGGAGAATTGAAAGACAAATACTGTGACTATAAACCATTCTACACAGATAGATAAAAAAAATCCTAGATAGAATAGGTGCAGCAGCCACAGACAGACAAATCCCAAACTAAGCTACCAAATAATTCATCCATCTATACAGCTGAACTACAAGCCATAAAAATGCCATTTAAAATGATAAAAAAATTCAAAAGATAGGGTGTCTGAGAATATTATAAATTTCCTATTCCGTTTAACAGGAATTAAAAAGAACACAAATAATCTCTAAATTCAAGAAATCCTAGAAATTTGTCATCATTTAATAAAGCACAAAACAATAATATTGATTTGGATTCCTAGTCCTATAGGCATCAAGGGAAATCATGAAGGCAACACACTGGCAAAAGAGGCATCGAAAATGAAAATAACTAACATCAAACTCCTATATGCAGATTATAAAATCAAAATGATTCAACACATAAAAAGAAAATGGCAAGCAATTTGGGACATGTTCCCAAACAGTAAACTATATGAACATAAGCTGACAATAAGAAAGGAGAATATAGAGCCTTTAGCTGATTGCAGACAAGACGTAGTGCTCAACAGAATAAGAATTGGACACACATCTGACACACACACACACAAGGCAGAAACTACACCTCGGGGAGACTCACTGCAATCAATTGCTCATAGTCATAAATAGCAACTATTATCAAGCACAAAATTTTAACATGCTCTTCTTACTGCCCAAATAATATGATATTTGAAGAAAATAAATTCCAACTTCTATAGAAAATAGAGCTTGGATTTTGAACTATACAATTTGTTATATTTTGAAAACAATTTTAAAACCTCACAACCACTTGAAACATTTTGAAACATTCCTGAATAAAAATCCAATTTCAGCATTATATGACCCACAGGGGTTGATATGCTGATAAAATAAACAATTGGTCAATCTACTATAATTTATACATATTATGTGAAATAATCTGGATCCCTTCAGTAGTTTTTGTTTTTAAATTAGAGATAATTAGAATTGTATAATAATGTGATATGCAGTGTATGAGGGGATACTGAAAAACTTCCCAAAATCTGACCAATTAACCAAACATCAGAATTTGGGGGAATCCTGTCTTGGTTGGGCTAAAAACTTTTCAGCAACCTCTTGTACATAAAATAGAAATGAAATCGATTAAATGATTTGAAAACTTTTTTCCACCCCAGGTATCACCCAAGAGTGTTATACATTGATATAGATATCCATCATGGAGATGGTGTGCAGGAGGCTTTTTATCTGACTGATCGAGTAATGACAGTTTCATTTCACAGATATGGAAATTATTTCTTTCCAGGCACAGGTAAATATAGAAATGTAGATATTTTGGAAAATTTATTGTATGAGATTTGGTCTTCCACTTATCCTGAATGTAAATGAATTGAATAACATTAACAATTCTGCTATCATTTAGGAAAATTATTTAAACAATCTTTGCTATTGATGTTAATAAAAATGTAAAATCTTTTTAAATGAAAGTTATATAATAAATGGGCTGTGTGAAATTCCTATATATTGGAAAATTGTTTTAATTTATAAAATGAAATAACCTTGTATCAACATCAACACACACTGACATGTCAAAAGTCATCGGATAAGTGCCTAGTATCATATAGGATCACCTCTAGTTCTGGGAAGTGCAGCAACTCAATGTAGTATCAATTCAACAGGTGGTCAGAAGACTTCTGGAGAGTAGTTGAGCCATACCATCTTGATAACTGTCCACAGCTCCCTAATATTTGCATATGCATATCTTGTGTGTGAATTACCACATCTCATATTAAACCACCACCAGTTTTTTTTATAACTGGAGCTTATGACCTTATCTGGTCTGTGCCATTTCTCAACCCTACCATCAGCTTGAAGCACAGGGAATCATTACTCCTTGGACCATGCCACATCAATCCTCGAGTATCCAATTTGCAATGTCATGAGCCCAGATGAGGCACTAAAGAACTGCTGGATATGCATCTGGTACTTCTTACATTGAATATGGGTGTAATTTTAGTCGGTGTTGCTGGTCTGTTACTGCAGACAATTCTTGCCAGACACCTCTTGTCACATTAAGGATAAGTGGTCAGCAACTACATTATCCATGGTGAGCAGTAATGCCTTATATCAGGTATTTTTGGTACACACGTGACAGTGTAGGATGAAGAATGTCAAATGTCCCTACAATTTCAGAAATGTAATGTTATATCTGACATCCACTATCATGCCTCCTTTGAACTACAATAAATCCAGTTGCTTTGCCATAAGCAGTGTAGCCAATGTGCACACTGACTCATCAGATGTCAGAGCACAACTGATATAGGTTTGAACATTTACATAATGTTAAGGAATGGTGGTGCCATTTACTATTACTTTTCCATAATACTGTCCTATAACTTTTGGCACTGCTGTGTGTGTTGGCATGTATATGCTAACGATAATGTATCATAAATTATAAAAAAATCATTTTATTTATTACTTATTAATGTTATTTAATTTTTGTTTTCAAACAATTATCTCCATGTTTAATAATAATAACCATCACCACCAAACTTATCTGAATGATAATATCATCATTGTCACAATATATATTACTAGAAAAAAAAGGCATTTTTGCAAACATTTTTTATTAGATTACAAATTATTATTTTAGTCTTTTTTTCAAGGTGACATGTATGAATCTGGGGCAGAGAGTGGAAGATATTATTCAGTAAATGTACCTCTGAAAGAAGGAATTGATGATCAAAGTGAGTACATGTGTTAATTTTTATAAATGCAGCACTTTAAAATGTATCTGGATGATTGGCTTTCATGAATTAAAATTTGCTGAGCTTCAGAGAATGTACATACTGTATTTTACTTATAATTTTTAAAATTTTGTCTTGCCTTAATGAATTTATTTATTTTTAATTTATTCACCCCTAGTAAAGCAATAATGCCACTAAGATTCAAGGGGCTACTAGGAGTGAGAGAATGAGAATACATTAGAAGGAACCAGAAAACCCAATCCTAAACAGGAAATAAGAGATAAACCTCTATTCCTGCTCAAAAGACTGGGGAGGAGTGTAAACCAGATGATAGTAAAACCTATCTACTCCTATTGAAGGAAAAAATAAAATTAAAAAAAAAAAAAGAAGAAAATTTCTAGGCAGAGATGTATAAAGTTGAAGTAGACTTTAAAAGGAACAGGAACAAGGAATAAACCTCTACTCCAGTTCAAAAGTCTGGGGAGGAGTGTGAACCAAATTTCTTGAGTGCAATAATTTTTAAATTAAATAAAGTTATTTTTTGAATAAATTAAAATTTTTAAATAAATTATTTTTCTCTGAGTTTAATTGGATGTACTGAAATACACTGTAGAATTATATTAAAAATTTACTGTTTAAGATGAAAGCAATAATTGTAAACATTTTTGTCTTTGGAGGCAATGTTTTGATGTAAGTAGATTTTTGTCTTTCTTATGTTCATCACTAAAAATAATACCATAATTCACTTTATTTTCCCTTTTGAATATTCTTATTTATTTTTTTAAGCATATATGCAAGTTTTCAAACCAGTAATACAAGCCGTTATGGAAAGTTATCGTCCAACATGTGTTGTCTTACAAGTAAGTGTTTACGTGCCATTGTGCTTGTAAAAATATACCTTGTTAGTTTTTATTATGCAAGTCAATGTTTTCACAATAAACATTGATATTTACCAACCAATATTGGTAACATTTTCAGGATATATTTATTTGATAAATATACCATATAACTTTCAGCTTATATCTGTTTTTATGAAAAATATTTACAACTTATTTGATGATGAGAGATATGCAAGTCAAATCTTGATCATATTGTAATTATATATGTAAAGATTGCTGGGTGCCTCACCATGGTATAATGGTAAGAGAGCTAGTCTAATTAACTATTATTGCTGTGTCATGTGTTCAGTTCTCTCTAGGTACATTATACTTGATGTCTAGTGCTTCACTTAGTAAATAACTATATATAAAGGTTGTCATGGTTTTTAAGAAAGATATAACCTCAAAAAAGAAACAAGATATTATAAATTTATTGAGTGATGCGAACACAATTTTTGAAATTGTGAAAAGGTTTAACAGAGATCATGGAACTACCAAAATGAATGAATTGACAATATAAAGCCAGTCTTATTTTTTGTTCCAAAGAATGTCATAAAAATACCTATGAAAAATTTTCAAAAGAAAATTTGATTGGACAAAAAATATTTGAAGAAGCTTGTATTTTGATTGTAAACAGAGAGAAAATATGTAGAATATTAAGAATATTAGCTGAAGACATGAAAGCTACCAGACTTTTAAGTAAACATCACAAAGGGAAACATTTTAAGTTAGACAGAGAAGTACATAAAAATTTTCTCAACAGTAATTTTTGGTGATGATCACAGAGCTTCATTGAATGGGCTTAATATCTAGGCTAGAGTTTAGGTCTTTCATGGAAATAGTCAACTAACATAACTTAAAAGATGACAGGAAGGTAGGTAGAGTAATCTTTTGGGACTGTAGGCAGTAAAAATATAGGTCCCTTTAAAATTGATGATGTTGTCATGATAAATATTGAGAATTATTTTTGAGTGGTAGAAGACTTGACCAAAAAAGCTTTAATCTATTGCAAGACAATGATTGTTTAAATTCTGCAAATCTGACTCTGAATTAAGCCTGCCTTGCTAAAAATTTCTTCAAAGACACCATATTAATGGAATGACCTCCCACCTTTGCAGAAATTAATTCATTAGAAAACAAGAAATGTACATGGGAATGTGAAACAATATTCAAGCAAAGATCAAGTAATGTTAAAGGTGAAAGCGTGCAAACAGCAAAATCAATGAATGCATGATTATGATTGTTATAGAATCTCAAGGATCCTATAGTAACATGTAAAATAATAATTTATTTAGGTATGAATTCAGGGTTATTGTGTTAATCACATATATTTTTATGGTTTATATCTTTTGGCTCTATAAATATAAAAAAATATGTTGCATTTACTTTGTCTTCATCATAAAACATGACACCTCCCAAACTAAATTATCAGTATTCTTAATAAAGATAGATGTAAACTAAAACTTATGATGTTCATCATATAAATATCTCCTGAAAATTTTATTGTGCAAAAATTGTCTTGTATAATAAAGTGTACTTTCCAGCGAGAATTTTGAATTTAGCATGCTTTTCTGTCAAGTCATAAATATTGGGCATTTATTTTTACATATGTACATTATGTTAGAAGAGAAATATCTTAAAAGCAATGTTGCTTTTAACACAATTTTATATAGGTCTGCTAGAGTTAGCTTGAGGAGAGGCATTAGGGAAGCAAAAAATAACATACAAGAAACAGAGAGAGCTACTTCAATAGCAATGATCCATGGCATGTATGGCAGAGTATTGAATGCATTATTAACAGCAAATCTAAGAAGTGAAAAATTAAAAATGGTGATACCTCACTGGTGGAGAAACTTAATTGTTTCTTTGCTCTTTTGAGGTGGAACCAACAGAACCAGACATAACAACCTCACTAGCCGTAAATGAGAGCTTCATAGTTCATAATCATGATGTGAAGTGTGTGTGTTCAGAGGAGTGAATCTGAAGAAAGCTGCTGGGCCTGATGAAGTGACAGGAAGGATCCTGAAAGAATGTGCCAACTCTCTGGAATCTTTACGAAAATAACCTGTATTTGTTGAAATCTGTGAATCTACCTGAAGTCAGCCACCATCCCTTTGTTAGAAGAAACAGTTATTAGTGGCCCCAGTGTTTATCAACCAGTCAGACTTACACCAATTGTCATGAAGCGCTTTGAAAAATTGATTTAGTGGCATATCAAGACAAGCCTGCTGTCTACTTTTGATCAATGGCCAATGCCAGTAGTTTGCATACAGAGTGAATACATCGACAGAAGATGCTCATTGCCATTGCTCTCCATATTGTACTGACCCTCCTTGAGAAAAAGAGATGTTATGTGAGAATGCTTTGTTTTTTTTGTACTTCAGCTCTGCCTTTAACATGATCATCACAAGTAGACTGGTCACAAAGCTCACACAACTATCTCAGTTCATCTGTTATTGGGTTTCTAATAAATTGTCAAAATAGGTTTGCACCTCTCATGATCAACAGCCAGGTCTCACAGGGATGTATATTAAGCCCTCTTTTGTACATCATTTACACTTATCATTGCATCCATATCCATCATACCAACACACTGATTAAGTTTGTGAATGACACTACTGTGATTGAACTCATTTCAAAAGGTGATGAGGCAGACTACAGGAGTGAAATAAAAAAAGAGTAGCTGCATGGAGTTACTTCTTTGCATATTCTGAAACCAGCAAATAAAAATAAAGGAAAAATTTTGTTTTATAAATATGCTTGGTGAAATCACAAAAACATCTCCAATTCTGTCCTTTTTATTATTAGCAGGCTTTGGATTGATAAAATTAAGTTTCTGGGTATGTGTATTGCAAAGGATCTCTCCAAGACAAGCAATACAATTACAACTCTTATTTACTGAAAATTGTCAGAAAAAATAAATTACAAAGGAGGACTGCTGATGACATTCTACTGCTGCTCTATTGTGAGTGTTCATGTACTGCATCACTGTTTGTATGTCAGTTGGCCAAAGGATTATAGATGTTACCCAGAAAATAATCAGCTGCTTGCTGCTATACTTGGGGGATATTTCTAATTCTGATTGTCACAGCAGAGCAGAAAACATAATAAGACAGCACACATTCCTGGTACCACTTATTTGAACTGTTTTAGTTCTATTAGTTTAGGACAAAGTACTTGTGGGACAGCTTTTCTCCTTGGTACTAGTGTAAAATGAACGCTAACATATGCTGACAATTTTCAACATATATTAAACATGTTACATTTCTTTATTCAATGCTGTGCATGTTTGTTTTTTTCCTTTGTGTGTGTGTGTGTGTGTGTGTGTGTGTGTGTGTGTGTGTGTTTGTATCTGGGGACTACTGTCCAATTTCATTGTTCATTACGTAATGACAAGAATAAATAAATAAAAATTTAAATTCTTTTATATAAACTTTAATATGATCAGTCAATAACTTTTTTTTTATAATATGTGTTTTACTTGCATATAGATTTTGAAAAAGTTTAAAGTTAAAAACGGTATTATCTATGTTAATATTTTTTGAAAATAATGTAATTTATGTATTTAAATAAAAGAACCAAATTCTTTATCATTTAAGTGTGGAGCTGATTCCTTAGGAAGTGACAGACTTGGATGCTTTAACCTTAGTGTCAGAGGTCATGGGTATGTATAACATAACTGTTATTTTATCAATTCATTCGATTTGATAAAATAACTCCTTTGCTTTCTTGTATTCTAAAGTTGTTAAAAGAACCTTGTCTGTTTATTTACTATTTTATAATTTGATATATCCATTTTTAATGTAATAATATTTATGCTGTGGTTGATATATTTGGAGCTGTAGAATTGGAAAATTTTATTTTTAAACTTTCATTCTCTAATATTGGATGCTACTGTATATTTCTTGTTAACTTAAAATTTTAATTAAATTGTTAATAAACAATGAAAACAAATCATCTGTTAAATGATATAACAAAAACATGTAAATATCAATTTTATTTTTTGTGACTTCTGTTCTGAATAATGTAACTAAACTATTATTTATTTAAATAATTTCTCTTTCCTCCTTAAAGTTAATAGGTTCATTTTGGACCATGAGAGACTTATAAAAATCTATTAGAAGTGTACATTAACTTTTAAATTTAAAACTTTTTATATATTCATTTTCAATATCTTTATATAAACAATAAATAAAAAAATTGTAAAAGTGGTAATATTTACATTTTCTATAATGGATGATAACTTACTATTCTCTCAAAGTATATGCATTACTCATATGTTACCTTTGATATTTCTTATCAAACAGTGAATGTGTACGGGTTGTGAAGGGTTATGGTCTGCCAATGCTTGTACTAGGGGGAGGTGGCTACACAAAACGGAATGTAGCCCGCTGTTGGACCTATGAGACTTCTGTCTTGCTGGATGATGAAATCAGTAATGATCTTCCCTATAGCGGTATGTACTGAATTAACATTGCACAAGATAATCCCTCTCTTAGAACATTAAAAATACATAATATTAAAGAATAGACTGAAAGTTTTTTTTTAATTATTTGACTGAAGGAAGTATTGTCTATTCAACACTATTTAAGTGTTTTCAAAAGCTTACTTTCTTCTTTGCATATTCTGAAACCAGCAAATAAAAATAAATGAAAAATTTTGTTTTATAAATATGCTTGTTGGACATATCACTACAGAAATCACAAAAAACATCTCCAATTCTGTAATACAAAATTTCTATGTTTATATTAGAATGCAGATTATGAAGTATTTTACAAAAAGAATTATTTAAGATTTTTAAAAAATCTCTAATTAACATTAAATGATTAAAGAAAACAATTTTTTACCAGAATATTTAATTATAAAAATTTTAATATAATTTGCTTTAGTTAACCTTTATAATTTAAAAATCATAGCATATCATGTCAAATATAATTTGACACTGCTCTGCTCTTATTTCATTGATCTGTCATCTCTCTATCCCAGCACTACCAAAAACTTAGTATTTTTGGTGTCATCAATTGGCAGTGATTTTTTTTATCTTCACAGCCATCACCTGTTGACATCAATAAGCTGAAAGGTAACCAGATTTTATGGGGCTCTTGCCCAATTATTGTGATTCTATGGAAATTTCAGGTGTGATATTTTCATGGCTGTGGTAAATTCTTTGTCTCAAAACCTGTTTCACAGCACAAACCTACAAAGTCTATTAATGAAAACAAATTGAAGAATTTAAAAGTACATAAGGAGTAAAGAATTATTAATCTTTTCATGTAGTATTGTTAGCAATCTTTTAGAAGAAAAATTATTCAACCAGTAATTGTAATAATTCAAGAGACCCTGGTTCTGACATTGAATTCTCATCTATCTGGTCTTGTGTCTTTGGGTTTGTATGTGGCAGAAGCAGCTGCAACAGCAGGAAGAAGAGTGGTTTATAATGAACCTAGCTTATCATGCTATCTTCTCTCTGTCTGGTCCTGTCACTCTTTGGCTTTCATTTGTCTAGTTTATAAAAGGAAATTTGTGCATCTCTGACTTTAATTTATTGCATGTTTTTTGATAAGATATTCATGACCTCTCTTTGTTCAATAACAGATGGCCTTCTTTGTAATGCAATCAAGCCAAACCCCTCGTCTAAACTTTCGTAACAGTATGAAAAATTGCATGTCTAATAGCACTTTTTAAAAGACTGTAATACTTGCCATATTACCCTGAAGGCAACTGGGTAGATTGGGAAAAATCTTGTTTTACTAAATCTTAATGAATTCTCCTTTGTTTATTTCAGGTTCAAATCTTCCTAGAGCCTTCTTCAAATTCATCTTATGGTTTCTAATTATTATTTTTAATCCATTCTTTCTTTATTCTCCTTGACACTTAATTAGTTTCTCTGAGTGTTTTTACTGTTTAATCTTTATTATTTCCCACTTCAAATCATCATTAGACATTCTCATGCAGTAAAACATTGAACCAAAATTACCACTACAAGGCCAGGTTAATGTTTGACAGAATGAGACAATAAATGCAGGAGTTATAGTTTATTTCTTTATTATATTCATAAAACAAAATATGAATTAATTTCAATATTGAAATAATGGTACATAATAAGTTACTAATATGGGTATTTAATTTTAATATGTGAATTGCCAGGACTTGGAAAAGATAGTGGAGTGGTTTCACATTGTCTTCTTCATGGTTTAAAATTAAGTTTTACTTATCTTAGTCTGACTGCCACCCAATGCTCTGTCCTGTTATTTAAGAGACGGATTCATGCATTCTCCAAGAGCATTAATACAAAGTAAATATACAAACTAAATAGGAATTTGAATTCATTGATTTCACCACTGTGCCAATAACTGTTACGTTATCTGCCCGTATATTTCCAATATTGATGTCCCAATAAGCTTGGTTAATTAGTAACTTTAAAGTTAATCTTAATATTAATATCTTAATATTTTTCTTTTCAACTATAAATTTTCTTCATTAATTTTAGACAATTAGGAGGTAGAAAAATTGGCATGTTGTAGTGAGAAAATGAATGCAGGTGTAATTTAACTAAAGCGTTATTCAACTTAGAATGATGTCTGTCCTATTGGATTTACTTAAATGCGGAATACGTATTAGGGGAGATAGTTCATACCACATTCTCCCCGGCTGGTTATTTATAGGAGACAAAGGCATTCCACCAACCCAGTTGTGGGTCCTTTAAAGACGTCATGGTGGTTTTGCAATCGACAGCCACCTCTGATATTGACTCATCTGAGCTTATTGTTGTCCTGGGTTTGTCTTGTCTACTCGGCTTTCAAGTATAAACCTTTGACTTGAAATGTTTATGTATTCTTTTTTAAGCCCCTCTGCGTCTGAATTTGAAATAGCAGTGTGTTTTTCAGGGTGAACTCATATTTTAGGTGCCAAATCCTTGTCAGAACTAGTCATTTTGGTCCATTTGTTCTGATAGCAATTCCATTTCTGATTTCTCTAGGGGGCTTTACTCCTACAGTGGCCAATTCCTTCAATGGCACAGTATCTCGTCTCCCATCCAAGTGCTTTATTACTGAGTTTGCAGATGTATCTGGGCAAGGATATGTGAACAGGAATTGTGAATATTCATCGATTATAGTAAGCAGTTTATGGTTTTTGATTCTAGGGGACCTTTGAAGTCCACATTTAGCCTTTTGAAACATTGAGTGGCTTTTATAAGGACTCTCAGTGTTGGCCTTTAAAATTGTGGTTTGTGTTCAGTGCAAGTCCACCAGGATGTTGTAATGTTCTTGATCTCCTAAATAGAGTATGGCAAATTCTGCCTTTGTACTACATGTGTCATTCTAGTTATGCCTGGGTGGCATAGTTCATTACATAGAGTTTGGAAATTGTTAAAACTTGGCATAGTGCTACTAATTCTTGATAATGTGTCTACTACAACATTTTGTTTGCTAGGACAGTATGTAACATCAATGAAGAAACAAGACAGCTCAATCTTCCATTATACTATTTTTTCATTTTCATTTTACTTCTTGATTTAGAATTAAACATAAATACAACTGATTTTTGGTCAGTTATGAGTGTGAAGTGACACCCGATTAGGTAATGCTTCTATTTTTTAATGTCTTTATGATGGCATAGACTTCTTTTTCGGCAGCTGATTGTCAGTGTTCAGGGTCCTTGTAAAAAAAGCAACAGGACGACCATTTTGCTTCAGTGATGCAGCAATGGCACTATCACATGCATCTGTTTCCATGACTAGTGGGATTGCAGGGTCTATAGTGACTATCACAGCATTTGCTATGTTGTTTTTGACTTTTTGGAATACCTTAACAGCAGTGGGAGATAGTAATGTGCAAACATGCCCATGGTTCACTGGAGTGCTTGCATGTTGTCAGGAACCAGTAGCTTATCTGGCTTCATATTCTCTTCACTCACAGTGTACCCTAATAGATTGAGGGTTTAATGTAAGTTTGCATTTGTTAACAGCTTCTGTCATTTTCTAAATCTTTAACCAAGTAAAACTTGAGTGAAAAGGTGTAATAGAAATTTTTAATATTGATATTTCCATTTGGTTTGCTGATCAGGTGAGGAATATGTCAGCTGCTTACTTTAACCTTATTTTCTAATGTTGTCTGCTGTCTATTATTTTAAATTTCTTCCATAGAAGAAATAAATATTCACATTTTCCAATTATAGATGGACCTTGTTAATTTTCAGATGCATGTATGTAATGAAACCACCTCAAGAGCCATTAGTTTCATCAACTGTTTCTAAAATGTCAAAATTAGTTCCTATCCATTATCTTTGTTCCACATCCATTTGCACTCTTTTCTCCCTTTTAATCTTTTCAGAGTATTTAGAATATTTTGCCCCAGATTTCTCATTGCATCCTGATATTTCTACAAAACAAGAAAATTGTAACAGCAAGCAAGTAAGTGTTTCTTTTAATTTTTTGTCTTTGGATATTTGCAGAATTATTTAGAATTTTTATTGCATCCTGACATTATTAAAAAGACTATATCACAAAAGAGGTAAGTTTCATCCTTATGAACCAAGTATTTTGTGCTGAAGATAGGATTAATATAATTTTGAATAATGTGTATATCAAATATCATTTGCCATTACATTATGCTTTCAACTATAATTTTGAATTTCACAGTCAATTAAAAAACTCAGTATTTTTTATTGACGCTACAAAATTTATTAAACTCACACAATCAGTTTTATGTTATCTGTAAAACAATATATATGGTATTAGTTGACCTTGAATAATTTTAAAATATAGGTTCTTTTTGAAAATTATGATTGTTCTTAAAACTAATTTCAATCATTATCACTTAAATTATAAATTTCTATTAAACCTTTTCACTCAAGTTTTACTTAGTTAAAAATTTAGAAAATAACAGAAGCTGCTTTGTATATTTCAGTATTTGGATAATATTCGAACCACTGTCACTGAAAACTTGAAAAATGTAGCCCATGCTCCCAGTGTCCAAATGCAAGATGTAGGACCAGATTTTGCTGGATTTGAGATGAAAAATGAACTTGATCCTGATGTACGAAATCATCAAGATGAAATTGATCGAAGGTAAACCTTTTTTAAATTATAACCAATTTTTATAGAACTAAATATCTAAAACTTTGCTCCCCAATTTGATATAGACTGAAATGAAAAACCCCAAAGAACATTCTAGTTGAGAATATACTGTTCTTCTTGTCTAGTCTCATAGTGAAGATTTTGTGGTTAAAACAGAGGATAAGAAAAACTAATCAAGCAGAAAGGTAAATAATATGGGATGGAGGGATACTGAAAAATTTTTTGGTCTGATCCACTTTCCAAAACCAGTTTTTCAATGACCAAACATCAAAATACTGATTTTGGGAAGTGGGTCATATTGAGTGCTTTAGAGTGTCTCCTTTTAGTGACAGAAAATGAGAAGTATTAAATTTATCAATCGAGAGAATGATGTAAAGTACATGTTGCTGAACAGCTAATTTCATTTTGATGCTTGAAATTTTTCTTCAGCCTTTCTTTCAGAGATTGCTCACCTCTTTATGTTGTGTTGCTAAAGAAATTATTCATCATTGGACACTCTTTTTCAATCAGTCACATGCCAATCTTAAATTTTCTCATAGACTAATAACTTTAGATATTATTTGTTGACATGTTCTTTATGGTGATAATCCTTTTTTCTGTATATTTTCTTACATTTTAGGTGGAAAGCATTTTTGTACTTTTCATAGTAAAATATCTTTAATTTTGTAACTCATTAATCCCCTCTCTTTATATAATTAAATTATGCAGTCATATTTTGTGTAAAGTATTTTTTTAATTTGTTGCATTTTTCACAATTAGCTTTTAAATTCTTTGTTTACTACAATATTTTAAAACCTTCCTAAAAAAAAAAATAAATAAATAAAAGCCTTTCTTTTGATCATTTACAGATTTTTGAATTGGATAGAAAATCAGTTGTCACAGTTGATTTGAAACTTTTCTGCTTTGAAAGTATCATTAAGGATTTTAGTAGCCAAAATGAAAATCTGATTACATTTTCTCATAATTTCTCAGTAACTTACATTTTCTAATTTCTTGTATTGTTTCTAAAGTTGATTGAACCCAATCATTTTGGTTGGTATTTTTTCATACTTGTGTGATGCTTTTCTACCAACATCTCTCTAAACAATAATGATTGATGAGTATCAATGAAGAAGTAGATATATTCATATTGTTTAAAGATAATGCATGAAAAATTCTAATATGCACAAGATACACAAATGATAAATTAACTGTAAGTCATACAAAGAGAAGTAGTATAACCACCTGCTACTCTCACTCTGCTTCAATGGATTACTAAAATCCAATCAAATAGAGTGAGAGAACAAAATCTGAATGACTGTTGTAACTAAAATTTGCTTTGTTTTTGTAGAATTGAGCCTGCAAACGAATTTTATGATGGCGAGAAAGACAATGATAAAGATACTGATGGCTTTTTAGATGTCTGACAAAAACAATACTTCTCATCTGGATGGTGCTGATGCTGCTCCAAGGCAAATTGTTACTTTTATTCCTACTACTTTACTGGAGACTATGTACCAGTCAAAAGAAATACTTTTTGTTTTCATCTCTATTCGTCTTTAATTCCTTATATGCAAGTGATAATGTTGAATGCAGTGATGCAGCTATACATTATCCTTAAATTCAAAGTAGATAATTTGTTGAATTTTCAATGCTTTCATGATTAACATCAATAAGCAGCATAATTTGCATTTTACGTATTTCACAGATAACATAAAGCTATGAAAAGATACTTATGCAAATAACTCAAATATAGGGGCAGCATGTTCCAACCTATTTCAATAATAAACTGCTTCATACAGTCTTCAAAGCAAAAGAAGCCAAGTGCAAACAAGAATGTAAATATATTTCTGTACTATGAATTAAATGAAGCAAAGACAAATCCATCAAAACATTTCACTCTTTAGTGAAAATTGCTTGGGCATTTGTATTAGAGAATTTTTTATTAAATCTTATCTGTTGTCAAATTTCAAATTTTGTTTAACAATATAATTACATGTGTTATTACAAATGTCCATTTTAAAATTTCAGATTATAATTCTTGAATTTTCTTTTTCCAATTTATAGATTTAGCCATTGATGTTATCATTTAAAGTGAAAAAACTTTGCTCTTATTTTGTTAAAATAAAATCAATGTATTCTTTTATGACTATGGAGCTATTATGTGCACTGTTAAATATGGTAATATATTAGCAAGACCATTTGGCTTTTAAATTTTATAACCTCAATCCAGATTGAATACTTACACTATGTGATTCATAGTTTTACTAATTTCCATCAAGGATTTTTATTCTTAAAATCTTATATTCTTTTATTTCTTAAACAAATACCAAATAATCATAGATGGCAAACATTTTTAACTATTAAAATTCTATTGTTTATAACTGAGACCAAACATACGAAAATAATTTTAACATCTGAGTTAAAAAAAAAAAATCCACCTCTCTTGCTCTCTCTTTTGTGTGTGTGTGTGTGACAGTGGAATGTCAGTTATCTAGACACCAATTATCTGAATTTTGTATTGTCCTAACAAAATTGCAAGGTCTCATGAATATTTAATTTTATGACTTTGAACTGTTGAAATAATTTTAATATATAGATGATAAGGAAAATTAGATACTACCACTACTTGCATTCCTCATTAATGAAGGTTGTAACTTTTCATAGAGTGGTGTGAAACAAGAGAAGAGGTTAACACTGTAAGTTGATGCATCAAATGCTATTGCTGGCAAAAACAAACACAAGAATCTCAAACAATACTGATTGGATATTTTACTTGCTAAATAATGAACTTTAACAACAATGAATTCCTTGCACTTTCTGTGCACATATGTAAATGTATTTCTTTATAATTGTATCATAATTCCTTGAATTTTCATTTAAATTACAGATAACATGCTTTTATTTGTAAAATAATATATCATGATCTTTTAAGCACTCATTTTACTAATTGAATGAAACCAATTCTTTTAAACATTTTCAGATGTTAAGTATGACTTCCTTTTTATGATCAGATCAATTACCTAAACAGAATACTTCTTACCAGTCAGATAACCAGTATTTCAATATATGAAGAAGTTATGGAAAGTTCTCAGCCCAATCAAGAAGGGAATTGACCAAAAATTCTAATGTTTGGTCATATTTAGGAAGTAGGACAGGCTGGGAACTTTTCAGCATCTTCTTTGCATGTATCTGCATGCATATATCTTAGCTTAATCTGGCACAAGACCACAAGTGTAAGGCACCCAGTGAGCATCAAGCTCATTACACAGCACAATTGTAATGGTTTTCTGTACTAGCTCACTAATTATTACCCTCTAGTAAGGACCCTTGTCCTCACTAATATATAATAAATATGAATTATTTACTTTCTTTATTTTTGGCTACAATAAAATAACTTTATTAATACCTAAGTTACTAAGTAGAACTTTATTAGCATATCCAACATTGAAAGACAAAAAATGTAGTGAATAAAAAAAAAATATTACAACAGAAAAAAAATTTTTATAAAATTATTTTGCTTTTTCTTTTTACAGTGGAGCAAATGAAGACTTTAGAAAATATAATGGTAATAATAATATTGCCATGTGGATGTTACTGAAGACAGCATTTAAGTTGCCTGAAGTTTGATACATCAAAGGATGCCACACGTGCTTCTATTTTGAAACTCTGGTCCTAATTTTATTTATATCTACAATGAGTGCATGAACACAACTGTGGAATTTTCATCTCAAGATGGAAGGACTGTGCTTGAAATTGTGATGAAATAAGCTGTTAGGGCTTAAATGGTAAAGACTTTCTAACTCCAGCAGTCACATATCTTCATCCTTTGAAGCTTTTGGGACCGGTTTAAATTATGGATCCTTTTTTTAATGTATCACTAACAACAAATAACTTTTTTTTAAAAATAACAATGGGAAAAAAAAATTCTTTGTTTTCACTTTATTTTTCTTTGTTTACATTTTATTTTTTACTAATTAACAGCTTTTATTTTATCCCATAATTTCTAGTGTACAAATTGAATTTCAAACAGATAACTTCATAGCACCTACTCCCTTGAAATGTATAACAAAATCTTGGTTTGCATACAATGTCTGAATTGAATTTGAAATCTTTGATCTCTATGAACTTGCAGCTTTTGATGCTGAACTGCTGACTCAAAATAAGTTCAAGGGTTATACAAATTGCGCTATGCTTGTAGCAATTTCTCTTCTCTAATAAGATGTTTGTAGCTTTAAATAATCTTATAAATAAGTTTTATTTACTTTATGAAACTTACCTAACTACATTAATTTTCTTGCATATGTCATGTATAAGTATTTGATATATCAAATCTGTTTCCTTCATTAATTTTTTAATTTGTTAATTTCTTTAACTTTGTTTTTTTTTTTTTTTGCTAAATTAATTCATCACTAATGAGGTCAATCTCTTGTATTGATTACAATGTTGATTAATTCCAGCTTATTTCTTTTTGAAGATTTGAAAAATTACAATAAGTAGGAGATACTGTTCAGTGAGTTTAAATTTTGTTATAAAAATTCACTAAGGTGATAACATTTTGCAAAGAGTTCTACTCACTTTAATTTACTGATGGCACAAACAATTTTAAGTGTATCTCAAAAATATGTTATATATTATTATATGACGATAGTTACAGGATATTAATATTATATAAATTTTAGTACCAGGTTTTCTGAGTTGGAGTGAACTAAGTTACAATATAGCAGATGAACGTTGTCCCACTTGTATATGCTAAGTTAAAATTAAATCAATTTAAGAAATAAATTTTACATGTAACTTTTAAGTAATGTATTTATCTTTAATAGATTTTTCATTGAAAGTAACTAATTCTTGATTTTGTTTTTAATGTATCAAATTAATAATGAACTAATAAAATTATCATCAATAGAGATAGAATTATGAAGTCACTCTGTATTAAAAGCATTTAATTAAAGTTAAGTAAATTGATTTAAGAATTAAAACCCAATGTTTTGAGGCTGCTCTCCATTATTGAGGTTAAGATAATCCAGTTTAGCAGCCTAATACAAACTTAATTTTCAAATAATTTGTGCCCTCTTCCCTTCATCAGGTGTATATTGATCTGAATAGCTAACAGAGAATTCTGAACAGAAGACTTTATTTAATCTGGGGTGTGAGTAGACTGTTCTTGTTCCACTGAGCATGTCTAGGAAAAAAGTAAAGAAAAATCTTTGAGAAACTATTTTTAAGGTTTGTGGATGTAGAAAAATTAAAATTACTTATTTTTAATACTGCTCAGTTATTGCTTGCTCATTTCCAATGAGTCCAATTACACACTGCCCATCCCAGGGATTGAACTCACAATTACCATGTCACCAAATTCACAAATCAATGCTTTAATCCATTAGGCTATTGTCCCATAGGACAATTTTCTGTTAAACTTGGAGCCTTAACACTAACGTGCTGATTACTGCTACTGCTGCACCAGCTGTTCTGTCTTTCTTTCTTTATTAGCAGCTCCCATATTGTATTTGTTCCTATACTAGGCCTACTAATAGCCTGATTCTTTCAGATGTCCAACTTCTTCAGGAAGAAGACTTGGCTATGGGTTCACCATTGTCACTAGTGATGCCGAACATATACATGAAATACTTTAAGGAAATGGATTTAGAAACAGCACCACTATAGCCAACAGTATGGCTGAGATATGTAGATGACACCTTCATACTTTGGCCACACCAAGAAGCTGTACAGAAACTGCTGGACCATGTGAACTCAATAAGACCTTTGATGTAATTCACAATGGAAGAAGAAAATAATCAGCTGGCCTTCCTGGATGTACTAATAACTCACACAGAAAAATGGGTTCAAAACGTCCATACATTACAAACCAACCTCTACTGGACATTACCTCAACTTCAATTCCCACCATCCATACAGTGAAAGGGATCATTCGATGCCTACAACACCAGACAAAATAATGTAAGTGGTGACCCAGACACATACTAAGAAATGGTCAGTATCAGAATAATAATTACCCTGCAAATAACTGCCTTCAGAATAATAACTACCCTGCAAATATAATATCAGCATCTGCAGGTGGAAACAGAAGGGTCAAGACCAGAAAATTGCTATGGTTTGTTTACCTTACATCAAGGGCTTATTGGAAAAGATTCAGAAGATCTATGGTTCATACAATTTCATGATAATATTCAGAAGCAGCTCCACTCTATGGAGAAATCTCTGCCAAGTAAAGCCAAACATGGGGAACGTGATCAAGAACTGTGTATACTCCATTCCTTGTGGTAAATAATATAAAGTTGAAACAAGCCACCTCCTAAAGTAAAGCTGGAGGAACATTGAAAAGCCATAGTGAGGGGTGAGACAATGAAATCGGGCATGTATGATGGGAAAGGGTCATTATCGGACCCTGTAGAATGAAATGAAA